TGGTTCTTTAGCTTTTTAGCAGTGTTAGTAATCTTTTTGTGAGGTTTAGTAGGGCATTTTTCAGTGGAGTGTAGTGAGCGAAAAGCCAGACTGTAAAGGGTCCAGAAGGTTGTTTTCATCTACAATCACCGGCCCCTTACCTCACTAAGCGTTCAAAGAGTTTAGAGTGATCGGGGAGCAGGGAGATGGGTTTTAAGATGTTCATTTGGGGTGGGGCCCCCGGGGGGGGCCTTTTTAAGAATGGCAGTGTTGGCAAAGCACGGCCTTTTTTGGGTAAGATCAAGTGTAGAAACTGTTTTTATCAGTTCCCGTGGGGGGGCTCCCTTTGGGCCCTTTTTAGCTTTGCGGGGAAAGGCTGTTGTTTTAAAATACCCTCAACTGGTATGATGGGGGACCGGGAAAGGGTAGTACCGGAGGGACAAAAAACCAGGGGGCGCCATGATTCGTTCTGGGGCCTTGGGAAATAATTCCTCTGGGGAAAACTGGAAAGGGCCCCGTAAACCTCCGAATTTTGGGCTGATCACCCCTTTGGCTGGCCCGGGGTTGGGGGCGCAAAAAGTCTGCAAACTCAGTTCCCCAGGGGAAAATTGCCCCCCCAGGGGGGGTCACTATAACACTTGGGGGGGGACCCCACGGTTTGAAGAAAAAAACAAAATGGCCCCTGTTTTTCACCTCTTTTTGCCCCAAACGCCCTAAGGACCCGGTCTTTTGGGTAAGGGCCCCGGGCAATTTTTTTTCTTTCGGGCCTCAGGGCCTGGGTCGTGCACAATTTGGCACGGTACCAACTTTTTTTTTTCTATTTATTTAATTTATTTCCTTTCCCCCTTTTTTCCTTTTTGCTTTTTCTTATTGTGTGTTTTTCACGGTTTGGGGGGCGTGGGTCCCCCCGGGCCTACCCCCAAAGTCCCAGGGGGAAAGGTGTGTGGCCCCTTTTTGGGGGGACTTCCCCCCCTGATCCCAGGGGGTTTTTTCTTCCTTGCCTAGTACTGGATGTCCGGCTTTGGCTGGGCATAAGGAACGGTGGTCCTAACGGTTTCAACCCCTGCGAGCGGTAGGACAAACACACCCCTAAGTGCACTTTTTCGTGTGGTGTTCGCACTTGCACATTTTTTGTGATCACTTACGGGTTTTTCGTTGTAGTTTGCACGTTTGCGGACTTAATAAAAAAAAAAAAAGTGATGGCAAAAGCGCTCCATCGTCCTGCTCGTCCAGACCTGCGGAGGACTTCGGCCAAGCTTCGGGGCAAAGGTCAACTGCGGGAAGTCGGAAGTCATGCTCTTCGGGAAAGTGGTTCCTGCCTTCTTCTGCAATCCATGCCCTTTGGCATCAAGACAGACTTCATGAAAATTCTGGGAGTTTGGTTTGGTGTCGAGGGCGCAGCCCTGAAGTCTTGGGAGGAGAGACTAGCAAAGATGCGACAAAAATTTGATGGAGCCTCAGAGACCTCACCATCGAAGGAAGACACTGGTACTCCGCAGCGAGATTCTCCCTGTGTTGCAGTACCTAGCCCAGGGCTGGCCCCCTCGGGTCAACACCTGTAAGGCCATCACCAGGGCGGTGTTTCACTTCATCTGGGGCTCCAAGATGGACAGAGTGAAGCGGGCAGTCATGTTCAAGGAACCCCTCAAGGGCGGTAAGGGCGTGCCGACATCGCCACCCAACTAAGGGTGTTCTTTGCTTGCAACTGCATCCGCAGAACTTTGCCTAAAAGGATTATGGACTCTGGCGGGGAACGCAATGTCTCTCTTCTTCCTGTTGCCTCTCTGGAGGTCCCTCGGGTGGGACACTTGGGACAGTTCCATCCCCTACAACTGGGACACTCCTTGGTACTACATGGATACCTTCAAGTTCATCAGGGAGCAGGGGCTGCAGGGAGTCAAGCCTGACTTGTGGAAACCAAAGACCATTTACAAGCTCATCCGAGCCAGCGACATTTTGGAGTCGGTTCCAGGCCTGCCTTCAGACACCTGCAAGGTGGTCTGGAGGAATGTTTCTTCCAACATTCTCACCAACAGGCACAAAGACCTGGCATGGATGGCAATCCAAGGGGGGGTACCTCTCAGGACATTTATGCATGCCAGGAACCTGAGCAGATACAGACACTGCCCCTTCTGCATCATCCATGAGGAGATTGAAGATGTGAGTGAGGGAGCATAGGATAGAAGAAGAGGGTGACCATAGTAGTTGTGAGGGGACAGGATCCAGGGGGCAGGTGGTGAGATGGGCTTCTGAGAAACCTTAGTGACCTCTTCAGTAGTAGCAAGGTCAAAAGAGGAAAGTGTTGAGGGAGGTTTAGTATAAGGTATGCTAAGTGGGATAGATGTCTGTGTAACCGAGATGCCTCTACGAATTGCAAATAAATTTCAAACACAAGATTGATGCAATCTCGTGAGCAGTGAGTGAGGTACTGGGTGGAGAAAGTAGAGTAGAGATGAGGACTGGATGACAAGGTATTAATAAAAGTGACAAAGTAGGCTTATTTGGCAGCATGGAAGGAGGCATTGTATGTTAAAGCAGATTTATATCGGGTGAAAGCTTGCTGAAATTTGGTTTTACGCCACAATCACTCCAGTGCACAACTATATTGCTTAAGATTTCTGGCATCATCAGTCTGCCACGGTTGTAATGGTTGGGGCCTGATGTTGTTAGAGGAACAAGTGAGTCTAGTGTGGATGAAAGTGAACTGTTTGTAGACAGCAGTGGTCAGGGCAGGGCAGGAGAGAGAGATTCTGTCATAGAGGCGGTCAGTTGCAAAGTGGAAAAGAGAAGGGTTTAAGTTGTGAAAGTTTCTGAGGGTAATTGTTTGCTGTTCAGAGGGATAGGTGTTGAGATTGTGATCAGAGAGCGGAAAGGGGGTGTTTGTGAGGTTGTAGGGAGTACAAAGATGGGAGAATCATGGTCTAATGTATTCCCATGAGAGTCAGTGGAGGTGACCGTGTCCATTGTGTTAAGGTAAAAGATGAGGTTAGGTTGAAGAGTTGGGATGTAGTCGGGTTGTTCACATTAATGGGGATGTTAAAATCTCCAAGATTGATAGTGGGTATTTCAGAGGGGAGAGAAAGTAGGCGGGTTAGACAGGCAGAGAAGTCATCAAAAATTGGGACACGGGTCCAGGAGGCCTATAGATCACTGCAATCCTCAGAGAAATGGGAGAAAACAGCCAGATGCAGGAAGGGTTAGAGAGGACTTGAAAGGTGCTGAGTGGGGATAGAAGCAAACCAACTCCACCACCTTTCCTACCACTGGGTCTGGGTGAGTGAGCCCAGAGAAGGCCTCCATAGGAAAGTGCTGCTGGAGAAGCAGAATCTGCTGCTTGGAGCCAGGTTTCTGTAATTGCTAGTAGGTTAAGGGAGCGGGAGACACAAAGGTCATGGACAGAGGTGAGCTTATTACAGACAGAGCGGGCATTCCAGAGCGCACATGGAAATAGGAGGGTGGTTTTTAGGAGAATGGAGATTGAGATTAAATTGAGTGGATTGCGGTTTATTCCTGGAGGAAGGAGGGAGCCTGGTGTTGGGGTGAGATACTGGAGGATCAGGTTTGGGGAGATATTCAGGATGGACTGCATGTAATTTTGGATTTGTAGATTGATGAAAGTATCCAATGGGGAACATAATGTGTAGAGTGAAGTGAAGAAAAATGTCATATGGGGCAGCACAGTGGCTAAATGGTTAGCACTTCTGCCTGGCAGCACTAGGGTCGTTGGTTCGAATCCCAGTCACAGCACCACCTGCCTGGAGTTTGCATGTTTTCTCCCTGTGCGGGTTTCCTCCCACATTCAAAGAAGACATGCTTGTAGGTTAATTGGATCCTGTCTAAATTGGCCCTAGTATGTGTATTATGAATGTGAGTTAGGGACCCTAGATTGTACGCCCCCTTGAGGGTTAGGGACTGATGTGAATGTACAATATATATGTAAAAGTGCTACGTAAATTAACGGCACTATAGAAGTACCTGAAATAAATATCCCCCAGAGGTTAGAGAGAAGCCGGGTGAGGAAAGAACATGAAGGAGCGGGATGTATATGAGTGCACATGCCTTCCAGTCCTGGTGTTTGTGTCAGCAGGAGGTGATGAGAGCAGTAGTAGGGAAGAGATGGTAGAAGTGAGGGTGAGATGTAAAAGTTGAGGTGGAGAAGAGGGATAAAGAAAGGAGATTTTGAGAGGAAAGGATAGTAATATGAGTAGAGATGTCATATAAACAGGTACATGGAGTGGGGAATCAGACTTGTAGACGTTTCTCAGGGTGTTTGCCTGCAGCCCATACAGCGTGCAGCAGTAGAGTTCTTCCTGATGCTTGAGTTATCCTGCTGTGTTCAACTACTTCACACTCCAGAGAAAATGCCCTCACAGGACAGAGGGCCATACTGTGACTTCCCCCATAATTACATTCCAAACATTTATAGCAGTGTTTCTCAACTCCAGTCCTCATGGACCCCCAACAGGTCATGTTTTCCATTTATTTTGCACAGGTGATTTGATCATTTCACTGCCTTAGTAAATTACCACAGCTGTTTCATCTGAGGGAAATCCTGAAAACATGACCTGTTGGGGGTCCATGAGGACTGGAGTTGAGAAACACTGATTTATAGGGAGATGATCAAATGTGCAACTCTTCTCCGCCACAATTAGGAAATAAGGATTACATTACTTTTTTGGGGAGGGGCTTATCTAAACCAGCCCAGACAGGCCAAAGTCATAAAACGATGATGGATTTTCTGATCACTGAAAGGCACAAGGAGGTGAGAATCAATCACCACAGAGACTAATTATCCTGAGATTTGCAGAAAGTCAATGTATTGCAGGGAGACAGCTTAAGGTGTAGATGAGACAGCAACATTTTTATCCCCAAACTACTAGCTGCTGGTAACAGAACCACCCATGACGTCATTGATAAGGACATGGGGCCCCTGCACAGCATCCTTGCCTGCCCCCGTCAGCAGTGAGGTCACATTAGCCGAGACAGAAACCCGGTAGCTGAGCGACACGTCACTGACACTTTTATCGATCTATATATGTTACTAGCGCAGTCTGTATTTCTGTAACTGAGGAGAGAACAGAAACTATTTGCCACCAAGTCCCCTCCCCCATCGGGCGCCCCCCCACCCCCCCCCCCCCCCATGTACAGACGGCGCTGCGTTGTGTAAACCGGTTTGGTTCTTTACATGTTGTAATGGCGACCCCAGATTGCGCTGAATTGTAAAAGGCGCCATGAGGAGGAAAGGCGGAGAAGTCCCCGGTACAGAGCTCTGTGGGGGGGAGGTGGTGGCTCTGAGAAGAGCCGTTGGTTGGCGGGTTGTGTGGAATGTCTGTTGCGGGGGGTCTAGGCCCTCTCTCCGCGGATGCGGCGTGCCAGCTGGATGTCTTTGGGCATGATGGTGACCCCTCTTGGCGTGGATGGCGCAGAGGTTGGTGTCCTCGAAGAGTCCGACGAGATAAGCCTCTGCGGCCTCCTGCAGAGCCATGACGGCGGAGCTCTGGAAAGCGCAGGTCGGTCTTGAAGTCCTGGGCGATCTCTCGGACGAGGCGCTGGAAGGGCAGCTTGCGGATGAGCAGCTCGGTGGATTTCTGGTAGCGGCGGATCTCTCGGAGAGCCACGGTGCCGGGCCTGTAGCGGTGAGGCTTCTTCACTCCGCCGGGGGCCGGGGCGCTCTTGCGGGCGGCTTTTGGTGGCCAGCTGCTTGCGGGAGCTTTCCCTTATTCCGGTGGACTTGCGGGCGGTCTGCTTGGTACGAGCCATCTCTACTCCTCTCTTGCCGGGAACTGCGAATGTAATATCCCTCCGCTCTGCAGTTATTTATACACATCCCTGCCCTCTGATTGGAGAACTACGCCACGCCCCTTTTAATGATTGGGTTACTTATAAAAAGAGCGGGATTTTCAAAATGCCCGCCAGGATCTGCACGTTATCTGTGTAGGTAGAGAAGCCCGCTGTGTCAGGGGTGGGGGAGGGGGAGGGCCTCCACATCATACCAATGCTCGGAGCTCTCCTTACTACCAAAGAAGAGAAGATTAATCAGAGATCTGCTAATAATCAGAGATCAGAGACTCCCTGTACAATGTAACAATTACATCCATTGACATCGGACTGGATTCCTCCATAATACAGTGAATGGGATGACAGAAGATCCTCCTCCGATCTCACGGATCCGAGGATTCCTCTGTTCGGGACTAAGAAGCAGAACGTGTGTCCGCCCATCTCAGGTCCATCCAGCACAATTGTGGACTAACAGGGACAGTCAGAAGGGCTGCAATGTATTGTCTATAGAAGAGCGAGATGACAAGAGACATGACTTGTGTGCGGATCTGGGAGGAGATACAATGTGATTTCTGCCTTTTCTCTCCGAATCCCACTTTCAAGGACAATCCGATCCCGGCGATGACAGTGTGGACTTTGATGGCACAATGACAATCTATCGCTGAGGATGTGAGGAGGCGGACATCTAGTCTGCAGCAATTCATCCCATTCATTTCACATTTACGAGTTTATTTGTAACAAACATTATTTTATTTATGTGTCATATATTTTCAGAATGTTTTTTTTTTAAATTCCCGCCAAGATATCTGCAGGTTATCTTTGTTAGAATATCCCGATCTCTCTGGGAGCTCCTTACTGCCAGATGGGAAAACATTGATAAGAAAAGATGTTTATAATTATATATTCAAACGTCTTATCAATGTAAGAATTGCGATCTCCGAGAGAGGACTATTTCTGTCCATAATTCAGTAAATTGGATGACGTAAAGGGGGAGGAAGTAAATCGTCCCAATGCATCCAATATTCCCCCTCATTTCTGATATCCGTATTACAATTTATTAACTTTACTTCCCATTCTGTGTATTAATCTGATGCACTTGAAATTTCACAGACTGCTGTAATGAAAAAGAGAGAGGAAAAAAATAAAGATACATACATATACACAGTGGTGTATTTCGATTTTGTGCTGCCCTAGGCAACACAATAATTTAGCGCCCCCCATGAGAGAGCGAGATATGTGTGTGTATATATGATTCTCTCTCCCTTCCCACATCATATGGGACTGCACACAAACACCCTCCAATGCTGCTGATCTCAGGGCAGCAGGAA